CCATTGTAGACAGAACCGAGAATCATTGTAGCGGAAGCTTTAAGTAATTGTCGCGATCCGTAATCTTATTGTTGATTTTTGCGCTGATTTGTCGGGACGAATATCACGAGTAATTTTTCGACGATGTATATAAAGTGAATAAATTGTGAGGAGAGCCGCGAGGGTGTCGATTGCGTCGTCGAAGTGCGCGGCTCCCGCGTGAACGCGTTTATCCTAGACGCATCGCGCCGCCGACTTGACTCGTGTAGTACCGCCGTTGTAGCGCCGCGCAGTGGGGGAACCGGCGCCATGTTGATCCATTCGAGGAGTCCGTGGACACGCAGCGGATCGGTTTCGTGTGGTTTCGTGCGGTGGTCGTCGCATTTCACGCCACGTACAATCGCAGTAAGTTTACTATTGTGCCGTTCAACGATCGCGCGACGTAGACTCGACCCTCGCGCGTCGGTAGATCGTCGGTGGATACCGGGACGCGTAAATCCAGGAAATCGCGGCCGAAATGTCACGCGCGGTCGGAGTCGCTACGGCGCCGTCGTGTCCTCGCGTCGCGTGTACACAGAGCTCTCCAATTTTTCGTATCTCCTCGCGCGTGCAGTAACATCCGTGTTTTCCACGCGTGACACGCGGCGAGAGAAACGTTCGCGCGAAATCGCCCCGTCGAACGCGACGCGCGTCAAGTTAACCTCGCGCATCTCCGCGAGTTTTTCCCGCCGGAACGTTCCCGTCACTTGGCGCGATACCACCTCGCCAGACGCGGCTCGTATTTCCGCGCACGGTTGTCTCTCGTTCTCGTTGTAGCGAAGTCCGCGTCAATTAACGTCGGGAGTGCCGCGTCTTCGGTAATTAGCTCGTCTTTCGCGAGTGTCGCGTTGTGCCAGTGCGAAATGGAGCAGTCTGAGAGGAAGCGGCGGCCTAGGAGGCATCGGGCAACGGCGGATCAACCCTGTGGTGAGTACGATTGTTTGTGCATTATTCTCGCGTTAACATCACATTTCGCAAATTGTTTTACTCCGTCGCTCCGGTTGCTCGACTCGCCCGTTCGAGTGATTCGCACGAGAACCCGCTGAACGATTTGTACCATGGAGAATGTATAAGGAGACCGAACTAGGTCTGGATCACGTCACCGAACGTGGGCCGACATTTTTGCCATCCAGTGAATCAAAATTTTGCCATTTGTAGCACTGGCGTCGCCTTACGCGATTAAGAATTCGCCCATGAGTTTACCAATCTTGATCTCGTAGATACAGCGTATAAGTGTTGTTATCTGGGGGTCAATTTCTGAAACTTACGAAAATTACAAAAGTGAGTGAATATTTATAATTTCAATCTGTGAATTCGCTCACTTTTGTAATCTCCACAAGTTTCAGAGATACACAATCCATCTCCTCATCTTATTTACAGATCGGACGTATATTATATAACCACGAAAGCTTCATGCATATGACAACGGCTATGTTTACACGTCATCCTTAAACGGGTTTAATAACATCTGTAGTTATAAAACTGGCCAATCACAACTATTCCTCAGAAGAATGGCTTGACTGTGATTGGCCAGCCCCTTAACTACGGATGTCATTAAACCCGATTACGGTGCCATGTAAACATAGACAACCATGTGTCACGTACGAATGCGAATGGAGTTAGTTGATGACAGCGCTCCCAGTATTGCTTTTCAGAACGTCTGGCTGGCACAAACATCGGCCCATTCTGATTACGGGCAGTTCGCTCTCCTTATACAGTCTCCATGATTTGTACGTACGTATTTTTATTCTTATTGTTAGTAAATTATCAGACGTTTATCCGGTCGCGAGTTGTAAAGGAAAGTCCCCTATTATGAGACAAATTCCTAATATGAGATAGCAGGGTTCCTGTTAATATTTTTATTTTCATTTATTTAATTTATTTATTTAATTATTTAAAAATTCATCTTCTAAAAGCTATGCGTTATACAGATTTGATCATAAAGTGTAGTCTACTAAACATAGACACCCAGCAATGTTTTATAATGTATTTGAGTAGAACAACTTATACATTATCCATAGTACACCAATATAAATAACAGTTTTCACCATTGTCACGAACAGATACACTCTGAAAATAGAATAAATGCGATTGATATATTACACACTCGACTCAGTTATTTCGATTACGCTTTGTTATTTAAAAGTAAAATGTATCTATGAATTTAAAATGAATTTATAATGATACCTCTTCTCCTCCTTTTGATTTTCTGAGTTATTTACACTCATAAAATATATGTCGATGAATATTTTACTATGTAATCTAATTATTTAAAATCTTTTCTGTCTTCTAACGCCGAAATAATAAATTAAACTTATAATAAAAATTTTGAGTGGCAAGAATAAAGAATTATTTGACGCCAGCACATGATTAATTAATGTAGAAAAATTGCTAAATGACGCAACTGACAAATTCTAATTAGAGAAATTTATTGCGGAAAATATTACCTCAGCCAGGTTTGAACCTAGACTTTCCAACACTCTAGGGCGTTTCACCAATTCGACCACTGAAGCATGTGCAGTTCGACCGCATGCTTCAGTGGTCGAATTAGTGAGACGCCCGCCTAGAGTGTAGGGAAGCCCAGGTTTAAACTCTGGCTAAGGTAATATATTTTGCAATAATTTCTCTAATTAGAATTTGCCAATTGCATCGTTAAAAAATTTTGAAATTTCCGATATATTTATCTCCAAAATGTGATTACCAAAATTATAACTGTAGGTCAGCTGTAAATAAGTAGCTAATTTTTTTTACACACTACATTCGTTTCCTCAGTCAATTTCTAAAAAATAATTGACCGTTTAATATGTAAATAATGTAATAATTTCCATTGTCATTACTTATATGTTATAAGAGCGGATTTTCTAAATATTATACAAATATAAATATGCATAAACAACGATTATTTCTTCATAACTTACTAATACCTTTTATAATGTGCTCTGGCTGCATCCATGCAGTTCACGTCTTCGTGAAGAAGAAATTTTTTGCCGCCAATAGCACTATTCCTATATATTGTAAAATAAAACATTTATTAAATTTAAATTGTCTTTATTGTAAAGATGATTTAAAATAGAAAACATTATACACACTTACTTGCTATACTCTCTAACATCAACGGAGGAATAATCAAAACAAAACATATCCAGGTCATTAGGTGGTATTGAAGACATTAAAGCAAATCTATTTTTATCGATATATTTCCAACCACGTAACGAAAAATAACTCACAGCAGAATTGACCACGTACAATGTTCTCTGCAGTCGTACTAGCCTAATTTCCATATTAGTCATTAAAATGAAAGATTAATTATAACGACACGGATTATAACGACACATTACTGAATCTGCAGATTCAGAATCCGCAAATACGATAAAATAGATTTTGAAAAGAACACGTGCATTTTTATAGATATACTGGTATGTTTAAAATTTTGTTTCAATACGTAAAGGAGATAAGAAGAAAATATACGCAAAATCATTCCAAATTAATTTATAATAAAAATATATTTGTATTCAACACAAAACCTATTATTTTAGTATGCGGAATATCTAAATTTTGCCGAAGCAAATGCATGCAGATAACTTGCATTTTTCAAAAAGTAGTTAAATATTTAATTTTTAAGAACTTACATACGTCGACGTCCAGACAAATGTAAAATCACATCTATTAATATAGCTGGTAGAATATGCAGTAATATCGT